AATCCTAGAGAGTTTACATGTATGTCCAGTTGAGACTTTTTTTTGACTGAGTTTTGGTAATCCATAGAGTGCCTTTGTTTGTGGGCTTCAGTCAGACGACAGCCATTTTGGATAATGTTCCCTAAATTTGCTTATATTTGTTGAACTCTGAAATGGATGGAGCCTGACTATTTTACCGGGAATAAAAGCATAGGCCGCGACCGAAATGGGGTTCCAGAGCTCCGGCTATTGTCTGCACGTCTCCACATATTTCCGGAGCAAAGACCTACATGTGGACCCAACAGGTTGGGGTGCAGCCACAGCCCCACTGTGTCAAATATTTTTCATTTGGCTGAAAAAAAGTTGACTTTTTTTTTTTTTTATCCATTATTTGGAACGATCCATCGGAGTGCAAGGAGGATATTCTACTGCGTTTCCCTATTGATTCAAGATGGCTGACTCATGAATTTCCAAATTAAATCCATTAGGATGGGTTTTTCTGTATTGGACGTTTGCATTTTTTTTTGACAAGCCCCTTCTTACCCAGGCCTTGAAAAACAAAACTTGTTCTATGTCCCTTCATCTTCTTTTTCTCTAATACATACGTGTACATGAGTACTCAGAATAGTAAAATACAATGTAAAAAGCCACTTGAGGCATTGCTTGATAGCCATCAGTTTTATGGAAAGGTTTTACGTCTTTGACAGTGTAGTCCCTACATGTAGGTCCAAACTCTTTATGTACATGCACATGTACGTTGAAAACCAACCAGATTTCACAATAGGTGGGAAAAATTAGGGGCCTGGTGACTATGTGATCATGCACATTAGTCGTTCACTTTGAATTTCTCCTTTGGACGTGAAAATGATGGAGAGAAAATAATGGAGTAAGACTGCCCAGCTTGCGGAGTTTCAAAACACCAAAACTATGCCTGTGCCATGATTGTAGCACATGTAACAGTATTGAAATGTTGGTGTGTTCTACATGTACTTTATGTTACAGAAAGTACATGTATAGAATATTTCGGAGCTGTTTCATGGTCATTGGCCCAAAATAACAATTCAGAGAAAGAGAATTCAGATTTTATTGAAACTAAGGCTCACAATGCCCTGCTTTATAGCGGAGTGGGTGGGGGGGTGGGTTGAGGAAAGTGACTCAATTGAGGCATTAGGTACATGACCGGCCCAGGCTCCACTGTGATCATAACGGCTCTATACAAATACAGCGTGGACTTGATTACGCCAGGTTCCTGTGCTAGTGTTGGAGACGGGAAGTGAATGCGATCCAGGAGGTTTGCTGGATTTGATGGCACGATGCCTTGCCGGGCAATGTCGTCAGTATGTTATCAATTATTGAGTTGTCAACGAGGTGCATGATGGATTGAACACTTATTCACCTGGGGGGGGGGAGACACAAGAGTATTAAAGTCTCATGCATTTTGTTTTGCATTCAATTTGGCAGTTCCAGTTTTTGGTTACCTTCGGAAGAATCGAAGATGAACACCCATGCCTAACAAGCACAAAACGTAACTGGTTTCAAACATACATGTGCATGAAGATCTGTTCACTTCTAACAACGAAAACCAAGACTTATTAATTAATAACATCTTACATGTTATGAAACAAATACCATCAACCAGTTTGAACTTCAGCGCCAACAAGTATATAAACACTGCAGTCTTGCACAAGAACTATTCCCAAGTTTGCAGTAAACCATCTACAGCTGAATAAAAGCCAGCTTCCTTGTGAACTTGAATACACATGTGCGTGTATGGCCTCAAGTTTTGCAGTTGCGACCGATAAATAAACGCCTCAAGGATATACAGGTATGCAGGCTGTATATTACAGATGAGCATTACACAAGTTAATGTGATCAAACAAGATGGTTAGTTATACCCGTTGAAATATTATGGGCAGAGTTAGTGCACTGATGTGGATAACATCCTCGTTTTCTTCTATAAACAGCTGAATTTTTGTAACACCTAAGTCCCCACAAAATTGAGCTGGCAGACACGACCTCTCACCCCTGCCAACCTTTTCCCATAAAACTCCCCCGGCTGATAGACACAAAATACCTGATATTTATTCCACTTGCCAGTTTATTTCAGCCGAGTGGGACATTATTAATGCCCCATGTCTAGCAGATATTTTGGCGGGACTATAAATTTACGGATACAAAACCCATCCAAAATCTCTGGTATGCTCATAGATTTATCACCCTTCTATGAGGGAGGGGTGAAATGGATAGAAAGACCTAGTTGAATGCCATTTAAGAAAAAAACAAAATGGCCAATTTGATGGGTAAAGCAGTGAACAGTTTTGAAATGCTTGGAGCTTGAACAGTGTGACATGTACATGTACATCAAGTTTGATACTGAAGTTCCATTTTGCTTGGTAAATCAACATGAATGGCATCATGAAATCATGCACCGACATGATGTTAACCTGGATCTTTCCATAAATTACAAGTATGGTTTCCTTACCTTAACAAACAGTTTAATACAGATTTTCTGTCAGAGATACAGAAATTCTAGGTTTGCAGTTACAGTGGCTATAGCACCCACACGGGTAATTCCAGAAATTAGGGGTCCAAAAGTGTGACATTTTTTTGTCCATGTTACATCTGACCTTTGTCATTTGACATGGAAATATCACTGGAATTGATTTCAAACTATTACTATTTGTGTGGCAGGTGCATGTAATTTGCATTAATTCATCACTCTTGGAAATTAGAAAATGTGTTCTGAACTTACAAAATCGTACGTCGGATGTGACCTGGACACACACAAAAAAAATGGACCCCTAATTTCTGGAATTACCCATACGAATGAAAGTGTTTTTTAACTCAAATTTTAAGAGAGTTTAAAGGGCAGGTTTGTTGTGTCATTTATGATTTGGATTTTGTTGGTACTTTGTTTTGTTTTTGTTCACCCTTTCCCCACATTGGGCTTTTATAACTTGGGTGTAAGTCAGGACTGTGATTTTTATTTACTGTCAGTTTATTTGCCGTCTTCATTCAAATATATCAGCAGCATGAACGAGATTGTATTGTACCTCGTGGTCATCCTGGCCTCACCCTCACATGCTTAATTTAACCCTAACACTCCTCAATCCTTCACCTGTTGGAGGACTGAGGACCCTGACACTCCTCAATCCTTCACCTGTTGGAGGACTGAGGACCCTAACACTCCTCAATCCTTCGCCTGTTGGAGGACTGAGGACTGTTAGCGTTAAAACAGCAGTACACCACGGCCTGATGTCAAACATGTGAAAATATCGTGGGCATGTGTTGTACGTACAATCACATAAGCATTGTCTTTTGGACGTGTAAGTGTAATCCGTCAATATCATGTTGAATGCGTTTGATTAAAACCCTCCTATGCAAAGACACATTCTTGACACAGTTGTCGTATCACTCAAAAGCAGTCAGATTTCCCATATGTGTCTGTGTACTGGAGGAAATCAAGTGGAAGGAATGTTGGACTGTTTTTGGCGGTTACAGCAAAAGGAGGGATCTATCATAGTCAATGTCAACATTTACATATACCGGTACATGTGCATGTACCATATATACCTACAATATGCAACCGTTAGTCATTCTTACATACCAAATTGTTGCCAGTCTACAATAACAAGCATAATAGTCCCTGCATCACCTTTTTCAGATTCCCTCATATTTCTTCTTCATTTGTTTTCTTCTTCCGTTCATTTTTGTTTTTTTACTCTCGCTTTGTTTTTTTTCTGGCTGTTCCGTTGGACTTAATCCTTTGTTCTTACTCCCACATCTCTGTGTACACACATCAAAAAAATGTTTTTTCGTTCTTGTCTTTCAAAGGATTTCCTGGAATGTTGTAATGCTGAACTCTGCTCCCATTACAAGGCGTGTGGTTTCCTTGCCATGAACTATTTTGAATGAAAATTTGAAGGAGTAAAGGAAACATTGACACTGCTGGTTTTGATCTGCCCTGCTCGTTTTGTAAAAATTGCAAATCACAATGACGCGTTTCTCTCCTGATGGGCAACCCAAGCAAGAGACAAAACACATCTTCTGAGAGAGCCGAGAAGAGAAAGGTAAGGCTGGCTCTGGTAATGCAAATCCCTGATTAATGGAAGGCCCGCCAGTCATCAATTGGCTGTGAGGTTTCAACAGTCCCACCTTATTTATCACCCTACTTGGGTCAGCCCGATGAAGACCGAGCTCAAGTTACGCGGGCAGGGCCCCTGCTTGATGCGAGGAACTCGTCTTTCCTCTTCTTCTTCTTTTACAGTCAGTCCAGGGAGATCTTCGAACTCGAAATGACTGTCTCCGTCTCTCACTCATGCAGGGCTTGAAATCTGAAGATTGAGCTCTATTCCCCGGGACTGGAATTTTTGTAAGGAAATACAGGCATGATGTATCGGGGAGATGGAGTTAGGAATTTAAAGCTGCGTGCCCGCCATCATCCCGATATAATGGAAATGCACATATGTAGATGCTCCATTTTTTTTTTCCCCGTTTTTTGTTTGTAATTTGACCTAAATTTCAAACATCGCTCCTGTGCCTCAAAGCAGAAGGCCTGGATTCGTTTGGATAGTCTCTGGGGAAAAAAAACCTTGTGATGGCTTTATTGGTTCTTAAACATCCCACCTTTTTTTAGAAATGAATATAGTTTCTGACAGGCCTCAAACCTCTAAGATATCAGCTTTCAAAACAGTACATGAATATGATCCTTGTAGATGTACTCGGTACAAATACATGTAATATGTACGCTAGTTTGCTATATTTTAGAGCAAAATATTGTACAAATATATTAAGTTGGAACAGTTGTCCGATGATGCACTTGAAACGTGTCTTGGCCAGACTTGCAAATGTGCAGAGCCTGAAATCAGTTCAACAGTGCCCCCAATTTTTTTCCCGTAGTCATCCTGCCTCTCAACTTTGTTATTTGTCATTTCCCAGCTGTGCTGCTGTCCCAGTGTGTTAATAGTCTGTCAGATGAGATGAAGTCTGTGTGAAATGTGCATGCTCATGTAAATACTCTTTTATTACAAGTGTGGTGAGGCGTTGGCGTCCTCAAGTGTCTCCTGTTTTTGATAATCTGAGTCGGTTTCTGTCAGAGGACATTTAGTGAGGGAGAAAAACTCATCAGGTTGTGTCATGGTTGGAATGTTCAATGAGATTCGCTGAATTCAGTTGATCAGAATTTATTTTTTGTCAGGGGCTCACTAAAATTTTGTTTTCTTCAAAAGTGTTATTTTATTTGCAACTGGGAAACGATGTTGACTTTGTCCACTTTCACCAAAACAGAGTACAGGCCCAGCATTTGGATGAAGCCAAAATCAAAGAAAAAAATGTTATGCAACATTTTCTCCTTTTTCTGCCTTCCATGTGGCTGGGCTGACCAGAGAGTGATGCTGTTGCTTTCCAATTGATATAGGACAAATTGTATTTTCAACCAGGCAGGCTGGTTTCACCTGGAAGTGTCAAACTGTGATTCCCAAAGATTCATTTGCAATAAATCCCTCGCGGGTACACCTAGTAGGCCGACCTCTCCAGTTTTTGTACTGTGTTGAGGTGGCCAGTGTTTGCATTTATGGATATGAGGCAGCTTTACTGTCACAGTGTACATGTAACCTGATATTTTCGATGTACTGGTACATGTATACATACATGTATACAAAATGCACTTTCCACTCAGATTGAGGCTTTATTTACTTCAGTCTTGACTCTGGCTGCTTTTGTTTGTGGGAGTGTGTTGTTGTTTGTTTTGCATTTTTTTTTCTTTTCTCTTATTAGCCATTTATTATTTGGAATGTGAAGAAAAATACTACAGGGTCTACGCCAAATGTTCCCAAGCAGTGTTGGAGTTGGATTATGTTATTCAAGGGTCGCATTGCCCCCTCATACATGTACACAGTGTAGGTATTGGTTGTCATTGGTATTCTCATCTCTCTGTGTGTGTACGTACGGACGCTCCAGGTTGATGCAAATTTCTTTGGAAGCATCCCCAGAGAGGCTTTCTGTGTGAGGGAAAAAACTGATATTTACATTGAATAACAGACAGTGGAGATTGCAACTTGAACAAAATTGGAAAGCAATCCTGTGTGCACGTGCAAACCATGGCATTGTTCGCTTATGTGTCCCCCCCCCACCCTGGATGAGTCGCGGAGCAAGAGTTGCAATCGGACCAGTGAGTGGACCTGCTTGTTCTCTCGCTCCCTCGCTCGCTCACATGCTATTCAACCCCTGGGCCAGTCGGTTGGAGTGGCATCTTGGGGGATGTCTCTACCGCTGTCGCCGGCAATGCTGTTCTTGCAATCATGCGGCACTCTGGGATTCGCACTTGGGGCTTTCTGAATTTCTAGTGAGGACGACAGCAACGCAGAATACTGGAATGGCCTGATCTTGGCTTTTTGTCTGCGCCTTGTGCATAAATGTTTCTCAATGTTACTTCAAAGCTTTCTAACAATCTCTGGTTAGATAGTCAATGAGGATTCATATATTTCTTTCCCAAAAGGCTACCCTGAAGCCAATAATCTTAGCTTTGCAAAGATTGAGCTGCAATTTTGCTGGAGTTTTTATCAGTGGAGCAACGGAGTAGTCCCCTGATCTTCACTTGTTGTCTGTACCTCATGCATAAATTTTTTTTCAAAGGGGAAAAAAAAAATCATAAGCCTCCAGTGCCGGTAGTTCGACAATCAAGGATGATTCATGTATTTTTTCCCCTGAAGACAGCCCTAAAAGTCAATAATCTGGCTTCGCGGAGAGTAAGAAGTTAGTTTGTTAGAATTCTTATCGAGAGGTGACTGAATAAATTTAGCAATATGCTTACAATTGCTGAAATCTACACAAGACAGACAGAATTCATGATTGGAGAGATAAGAAGCAGCTTTCTGTGATCTGCTCCGAGTGGAACAAAAGAGGGCGGGGTTTTTTTGGTACTCACTGCATAGGTTCACCATGAGGCACGCAGTTATATGCGTAATTAATTTATTCCGGCTTGCATGGTCTGCGTACACGCAGAACTTGTGCAAGAACCCACTTGTAACCACCTGTCTTTCTTTCGCCGATTGGGGGTGCACTTCAGCTCGGGGCGGATTACTCGGTACGCTTGTAACTTTCACAAGAGAACCCGTGAGATTTATACTCCACAGTATAACTTGTTATATAAGTGACTTTTGGTGAACTGTAAGGATCAGCAGCAGAGGGAAAATTAATCCCTCATGAAATATGCTGCAGTGGATATATTAAAAGTCAATTTGCTGCGAGTTTTGCTGAGTTTATTTTGATGTTATTGCTGAATCAAGTTAATCATGCAGATGTGCTCTGTACGTGTTTGGACAGATGCTTTGTGTAATCTGGCCACGGCCCTTGGACACTAGTAATAAATACCCTCAGACTGCACCAGGCCATGGTGCACTATTCAGGCCTAAGCAGCTTTTAAATGGCAACAGTACTGCTTTTCAGCAGGCAGTGAACAACGTAAGGAGTGAAGAATTTCGCTCTCGGCGACCCAGTCTTTTGTGTTTGTTGATAGGTCTGGTGCTATTTGCATACACTGTTTGGGATGGTCGCACTAGGTTGGGGAGGTAGAGAACGGAGAGCAAAAGGACACATCCTTTCAATAATGCATACACAGAGTCATTTCCATGAGAAGCTTTTTGGAGGGAAATTGAAGCCCAGGCCTAGCATCTAGAGTTTCCTGTGTGCCTGGCATAATGCATTGGCTCCTGGCTAATACTTGCAACAGCGGGATGGAGAGTGAGCCGGGGGGGGGGGGGAAGATGGGGTTTAAAAAGAAAAAATCCCAACTTCATGTACATGTACATGCAAGTATTTTGGGAGCGCTGATTTACGAAGAGCAATCTGGGGAGGATTCTGCATTCTGACATGGTAATTTACAATGAGAACATCTAAAGAGGGTTTTAGTGACGGGGAAAGAGTTGATTTAAGCACTGATCCTGGACTAAAGCTGAACACTGGATGGGGTGTTTAGAATGATAAAGGCAGTCTCACTCTGCTCTTTTTGTTTGATTTAAATTTTTAATAAGACAGTAACTTGAATTTTATTTTGGCAACTTCCATAACAGTGCTTTGCCAGTTGGTGAACTAGCAATCTACATGTATTTGTTTGTGTCATTCATGTGTAGGGTCAGACAACATGTTGTTTTCTTTATTTTTAGTATCTGACATTGTACATGTAAGTTTAAGTTTTCCAAAGTATTAGCAATCTGAAGTTTTGAGCAGCTTTTATTCACCCGATGTCATGGCCAGTATTTGTCCCAAATTTCAAATTAGACAAATTGTCCGCAAACATTGGTAAGTTTTCTCCAGAATTTGAGATCATTCCACACCATGTTAGGTAACACCATCCCAAATTTTTAATTCCCTTTTTTTTTAAGGTACCCCTTAGTGCAGATAATCAGTTCCATTTGAAGACAGCCTCTCGGATGAGCCGCACATGTAGAAAGCATTATCACCTTCAGGGTCCACTGCATGCAGTGCAATAATCAGGTCAAACCTTTTCAGTCTAGTAGCTGTCAAGGGCGCGACGGCTAATAATCTGGAGGTCTATTGAGCATTATTAGTATTTTTTCCCCCAGATTTTGGCAACATTGTGGCGTGTTTCACTTAATTAAAGACGCATGCGTCTTTTGTCTTGCTTGTGATATCCTTTGAATAATCTGTGGTTTCCCTCGATGGGAAGAAGGGGAGGGCCCAACCACACTTCAGGAGTGCAAGTAGTTCCTTAGTTGCAGAATCTCAAGCTTTGAATTTAAATTTGATATGCAATGAGGAATGTTTGCTGGTGAGTTTGAGTCCCGTTGGTAGACTTAATTTCGGAAAGTACACTTGTGTCTTTAATATTTGAAGAAATAAGGTTTTAATCATTTGTAATGTAACCAGAGGGAAAATTGTATGTGCTCTAAGTGATGGCGATACTGGCTGAAAGGACTGTCAGTCTTGTTGAAAGTGCTTCAGTTTTTGGTGAGCAGTCATACGCTGTATGCGCTGTGCTGCAGAGAAATGGATGAAAAAAAGGACGACATTTAGTAAAATTCCAGGGGCAGTTTTCGGGTGAGAAGAAATG